ACTTCTCCACTGATATAACAATATCACTAGAAGACATTTCGATTAATTCATGTCACTTCTCTGCAAATATGACAATATCACTAGAAGACATTTTGATTAATTGATTAACTCATACCATTTCTCTACAGATATAACAATATCACTAGAAGACAGTTTTTTTAATTCATGTCACTTCTCCACTGATATAACAATATCACTAGAAGACATTTCGATTAATTCATGTCATTTCTCTGCTGATAAAACAATGTCATAAGAAGATATTCTGAATAATTCAGTAACTCATACCATTTCTCTGCAGATGTAACAATATCACTAGAAGATATTTTGATTAATTGATTAACTCATACCATTTCTCTGCAGATGTAACAATATCACTAGAAGATGTTTTGATTAATTGATTAACTCATACCATTTCTCTGCAGATGTGACAATATCACTAGAAGATATTTTGATTAATTGATTAACTCATACCATTTCTCTACAGATATAACAATATCACTAGAAGACAGTTTTTTTAATTCATGTCACTTCTCCACTGATATAACAATATCACTAGAAGACATTTCGATTAATTCATGTCACTTCTCTGCAAATATAACAATATCACTAGAAGACATTTTTAATTCATTAACTCATACCATTTCTCTACAGATATAATAATATCACTAGAAGACATTTCGATTAATTCATTAACTCATACCATTTCTCTGCAGATGTGACAATATCACTAGAGGATATTTTGATTTATTGATTAACTCATGCCATTTCTCTACAGATATAACAATATTACTAGAAGGCAGTTTTTTTAATTCATGTCACTTCTCCACTGATATAACAATATCACTAGAAGACATTTCGATTAATTCATGTCACTTCTCTGCAAATATGACAATATCACTAGAAGACATTTTGATTAATTCATTAACTCATACCATTTCTCTACAGATATAACAATATCACTAGAAGACAGTTTTTTTAATTCATGTCACTTCTCCACTGATATAACAATATCACTAGAAGACATTTCGATTAATTCATGTCACTTCTCTGCATATGGATAATTCTCTGATATGGATAGTGCTAAAATGAACGTTCGTTAATAAAGAGATTTTAATTTGTAACTATCAATCAGGAATATGTACAATATAAATGAATATTAAAAAAAAAGTTTTTTTTACTAAGCCATTTTAAAAAAGGAAGCATATGAAAGAAACAAGTTTTTATATTTTATTTTTTTTGGAGAAACAAGTTTTTATTTTTTAATTTTTGCTAATTTTTATATTTACTACTTTTTACTTACTTTAATCATTATTATTATTTGCAAAATAAAATTTAATGTTAACATAATAAAATTAAAAATAATGTGATGAATAGAGTCAGATTTTTTCTCGAAAAGTGTTTATAAAGAAAACAAAAATAAACATTTCTCTCATTTGTTATCATTATTATATTTCTATGTCATTCTCGATTGGATGACTAACAGAATTTTCTTCTTATTTTAATTTCATATCTTAATATTAACTGAAACTTTAATGAAACTTATAAAATTACAGCATAATTTTGTTGTGTGAAATTATTATGATAAGTTTAAAAGTGAATTAAAAGTAATAATGAATTCTTTTCTGTTTACTTTATCTTTCATTACAACAAAATTTCATCTTTAACAATGAACGCATCTAATATGTTCGCCTCAAATCAATACAATATATTTTTTAGTCAAAAATTTTTTCATCATTTCATACGTTTAAAAGTACTTTACGATGCTATCAAAATCCTTTGGGAGTTTATTTGAGAAGAGAAAAATTTTCAAAATATAAATTGAACAAAGAATAATTGACAAATTGAAATGTCAGTCACAATTGCTTCCAGCTTCCTATCATCTATATAATATTTAGGAGGATCTAAGATAAATTGAACGCAATAATTACTTTGTGTTAAATTTAAAGCATACAAAAATTATTATTTTAGAAGAAAAAAGAAAATTGTTTTCAAATATTTTTCATATTTTTAAATAATACTTTTTAATACTGCAAAAATATTTGCAACATTATCCGCGTATAAGAATGAAAACGAATCAAAATGATTTCAAATGCCGAAAATTATTTCAGTAAAAAAAGTAAAAAGATAAATCTGTGTAATTATTTCCATCAATTAGTTGCATTTTTTAACAAATATTTGATAGAGTATAAAATATATTTTTACACTGTCTAACTGTTCAGAAAAGGGGAAAATTCTGGTATTGAATAATTTCAATTAAAGGAGTTACCAAATAAAAATTAATTAATTGAGAATAAAATTTCGTTGTAAAAAAAGTTAAAGTTCACAATTATAGCCAATCAAATAAATTTATGCTTCAGCATTATCACCATTTCATAACAAGAAGTGATAACATTTTACCGATAGTCATTTAGCATAAATAGATACAACTTCAATAAACATTTCAATCAAGAAAAATATTTAATCCGAATACTTAAATAACACATTTTTGAAGATCCATGAAAGCTTATCTTTCCCACACTCCCACTAATCTCTATATCATACAAAACGCTAAAATAAATACAGTAGTATATATTAGTCAAAACTGCAAAGGATATTAATGAGGATGCTTTCATGAAGTACAATCAAATCACTAGCTAAACTTTTATCATTCTTTTTTTCTAAAGCTATAATTGATTTTCGAATTTTGTGTAAAAAAAAAAAAAAAAAAAAAAAAAAAAAAAAAAAAAAAAATCAGAGTTCTTTTTTTTTTTATGAATTTTTCACATTTATCCTTCTATTATTTGTTTATTTATTTTTTGTAGAAAATGGTGACATTGAAAATTGAATATTGGCAATGTGAAGAACTAACGATAAATTTGTTAGTATACAACAAAAACTATGAGAGCACTTTGCAAAAACTAAAATAAATGGTCAATATGAATATTATGAATTTAAATGTTTATCTAAATGAATGCAGTAGAGTTAAGATTGAATAAAATTTTGATTTTTAGTAAAAAAAAATTTAAAGTTATAACTGATTCAATTCATTACCATATAATTTAATACTACTGTTTAGTTGCAAACTACTCTATACAGTAACTTCGTTTGGGTTACCGTATAATTACTATTACGGTGATGGACATTGTACAAGCTAAGTACTTGGATTATTAATATTTTATGCATAGATCATTTTAAAATAGCAAGCAGAATAAGGAGACAGAGGGAAATATCTATTTCTACTTGTTGATCTTTCTTTTCTTTGATTTCTTTTTTTCTTCATGATTTTTGATTTTCTGATTTCCAGTCCTTCGTTTCCTTTCCTTTTTAATACTGAATTTTGATTGATTTAATAAATTTTTTTTTGACTGATTGATCAGTAATGCCAACAATAGTTATGTACGACTTCTACAATTCATGGTGGTGCTTCTAGTGGAAATGGCATTTTATATTCATTTATAACTTGTGTCAAATTCATGTGTAAGCATTTAGGAAGATAACACATTCAAAACTTAATTTAGTTAATTTTAATGAAATCATAGAATTCATTGATGAAATTCATCCTTCTATTGATATATTTAAATGTTGAGAAGAAGTATATTTCAAGGGACAAAATTCGTTCAAAGCAATTTGAAAAGCATTTGATTTTGAGTGAATTTATGTCAAGACGATTTGATTTAATTAATTAAGTTTTTCTATGATTTTAAATATTTTTATAATAGACAGTGTATCTGTTCAGGAAATTCAGAATCTTTGATATTTAAAATGAAAAAAATTAATTTTTAATTTAGCAAAATTTATTATACTTTTTCTTTCACTTGTGCATTTGTCATTCCTGGATATTGTTCTGCTGCATTTGCAAAAATTTCCCATACCATAACACCGTAACTCCATACATCCGTTTTAGAAGTGCAAACTAATCGTTGGATTGTGCAAGCCATTTGATTGGTACTCGTCTTGCTTTTGTCATATGATATTCGTCATCTTCACGTGACAAACCAAAATCCGATATTTTCACATGCAACAGAAATGACCTTTTCATGAACTGATTGTGTTTTGTGGAACAAAGTTTTGATATCTATCAAATGATTATGACAAACAAAAAGCAATTAAAGTAACAGAGAAGAAGTAAATACAGACCTAATTAATCGATAGAAATTTAATAAATAAATTAACAGTCGATAGTGTGTGGATATATTATTTTTTTTTAAAAAAACCGTTTATTTTTCGTATTGATTTATTGAAAAATGAAATCTTATTTTAGATATGAAAAGCAAATGAATAATTTAAATAAATTTTTGTTTAACTTTTTACTTAAAATTTGAATATTTTTTAAAAATCAATTCAGTTTTGATTAATTTAATGTCAAATTTTGAAAATTCACTCTCACATAAATATACTGAACTTTGTTTAGTTCAGTAAATAAATAAACTAACTATTCCAGTGCGTGCAAGTAAACAATTTCTAGCAGCAATATCACGATGAATACAATTTTTTGAATGTAAATATTCTACACCCCAAGCACCACCAGCCCATTTTTTCAACTTTATCTTTCACTAAAACTCGATTTTTCTTCAAAAAATCATCCAATGCATCACCAACCACCTGTAAATCTTGAAATATTAATTAATTTTTTTTTTTTTTTTGAATGTCAAAAAGAAACTAATTTACGTTAGCACTTTAATAATAAAAAATCAAACAAATATTTAATTGACATATAATAATATACATGCATACGTTAGTTCAGAATTAACTTAACTGTAATTAACTTAATTGTAATTGTATATGAATTTAATTGTATACGTGTGACGCAACTTTAAATATATATAGCACAATTCACATATATAGGACGCAATTTTTAAGGCATTTCGCCGAATAATTGAAGAAATCAACAATCAAAAATATAAAATTATATGCACACGTAAATTGTAAATGCATACGTAAAACATAGTCAAAGTAACGATTCTATTCTATTATACTAAAGAACACTCACTAATTCCATAACAATAAGTAATGGATCATGTTCAACGCATACGCCATGGAAGTTTATATTTGCCAGAAAACACTTCACCAAATTCACCTTCACCAATTTTGTTTTCGATTATAACTGTTTCATGTCGTAATTCCCATGGTGATCGAATTATTGCTCGTTTCAAAATCGCCTTTGGCACCTAAAAAATTTAATTTAATAAAAAATAATGCTCAAAAAATGATAATTTTTAGCTGAAAAAAGTGAAATGAAATTACTTATAATCTTCTCTCGAGCAAATCTAGCAAATATTTTAAACTTAGCAGTTAAGAGGGACTATAAAGTTAGCATTTAAGATTGTATTTGAATTAGTATTACAGAGAAAGATTGTAAACAATAACCAAAATTTCCAAATTGGATTTTATTTCTGTGTTAAAGATATGAAATAAAATAATGAAATTAATTTGGTCCAAGGAAAAAGAAAATTTTTGTTGCAGAAATATCGCCATACTATTTAATATATATCATCTCACTAAATAATTCTATTGTTATCTAAGACAAGATTTTTTCACTTATATAAGAAAAATACTACGTATTTTCTAAACTTATAAACTCAACTTGGAGATTTCTTTTTAAAGATTGGAATTAAATGTTAAAATTCATATCTAAGTTATAGTAATTTTAACTTAAAAAAAGTTTACAGCGATTTGAGGATAAGTTAGATCTAAAGTATAGTATATGATGCCATCACAAAGATTTTAAAAGCTTAAATGAAGTACTATATCGAGGTCCAGTAATGTTACCGGATTTAGTTGGAGTAATATTACGTTTTCGGATGATGAAAATAGTAATAACCGCTGATATCGAAAAGGCATTTTTACAACTAGAACTACAAAATGAGGGAAGAAATTGTACACGTTTTCTTTGGTTAGATGATATTCATAAAGAACTAAGCAATGAAAATATAAAATGTTACCGATTTAAGAGAGTTCCTTTTGGAATAATATCCTCACCCTTCTTATTAGCAGCAACATTAAATTACCACCTAGAAAATCATGGTAGTGAATTGGCATGGGAGATAAGAAAGAACTTATACGTAGACAACGTTATTATATCAGCTAATGGAACAGAAGAGGCCTTATATAAATATGAAAGAACGAAAGAAATTTTTGGTGAAGCATCGATGAACATAAGAGAATTTCTTTCAAATGACGAAGAATTTAACAAAAGAATAGCTGAATGCGACCTAAGCCAAACAAACCAGGAAAATTTTCTTGGTCTTAAATGGAACCATGAACGAGATATTATCCGTGTGACACTGAAACTGAAACGATGGATAGGAAAAAGTTTAACAAAGAGGACTATCCTACAATTCATAGCCTCCCAATACGATCCATTGGGTCTTCTCGTTCCTATAATGATCAAACTTAAATTATTCATACAATACTTATGGAAAGAAAACATTCCATAGGATCAATCTTTAAACAAACAGGACGAACAACAGTGGATAAATCTCATCAAAGAATGGCCAACAAATATAATAGAGCTGCCAAGATTTGTAATGGAAACTTCACAATTAACAGAATTCCATATATTTACTGACGCTTCGAAAGTTGCCTATTCTGCAGCTATTTATATTCTCAATCATGGATATCAAAACACATATTCGAATTCATTTTTTTTGCTAAATCTCGAATTGCTCCAATTAATGGTATGTCAATTCCTAGACTTGAATTATTATCTGTACTAATTGGAGTAAGAGCAGCTCAGTTCGTATTGAAACAATTATTACTAAATGAACCAGAAATACCTCGTGGTGTATGGAAATTGGCAAGGATAATAAAAATTAATCGAGGATGGGATGGAAAAATAAGGAGTGCAACAATACAATTACCGAATGGAAAACAAATCGATCGATCAATAAATATGCTTTATCCTATGGAAATAGATGCTACTGAAGATAGAGAAGAAAAAATGGAAGATGAACCAGAAGAACCCATTGCTCGACGAACCAGAAGTGCTAAAAAATCACAAACTACAGTCTATGCAAAGGACAAGTCTAATCTTTTGATAAAAACTTTATCATTAATAACGATGATGTCATTAATACCAAGACAGGTATTAGCCAAAAATAGATGTAATTGGATTACTGGAGTACCCTTTAATATTCCTGAAAAATGGAATTGTGAAGAAATTATTCACAAAAATGCTACATATCACAAAGTGGATGTGTACACACGCAACTTCCTCACAATTCTGCAGATATTTAAATGTTCGAAACAAATGAACGGAATTGGACTAATTCAATCTTCTCCTAATCAATGGATAACGAATAAGGAAATACAATACTCCTATGGATGGTTAGGAGTTAACTGTCAATCAGCGTCAAACTTCATATTAACTCAAGGAGAAATTCTCCTCTACGATGGAAGAGGGTTAGTCTCTAACCTTGAAGATATAAAAGATTGTTCGACACAAAAGGGTGAATGCATAACGAATACTAGCATTATCATATGGAATAGCAATGATACGACCAATCATTGTTTATATCGAAAGATCGGAAGATTCAAGGCTACAAAGTATAACAACCACCTATCATCAATGAGATACAAGCATCGCTTATAATTGATAAAAACCCCCCTGTATTAAACACCAAAAATTCTAGATTCACCTCTCCAATTTTAATGCAATTTTAACCTCTCCAAATTAATTTTAATGCAGGGCGATATAGTTATTGAACTAGACGTTGAAGATGACTCGAACTCTACTACAAAATTCAAACGAAGAGTAACAAATAAACTACTGATGATGGAAAAGTCTCCGGATAGAAAGTACGATCCTGAAAATGTAAAGTACCTTTCTGATTCACTAAGACAAGAATTCCTTCAACAACTTAAAGAAACACAGCAGAGAAGTTGTCAAAACAGAAATAACTTATTACTTTTGATCAAATGGCTATCAATCAGCAATCCTACCCTTGCCACGAAACTAATACTTCAAAGAAACGATGAGATAGCTAAAAGAATTAACGGAAATTTGATGGTGGCTCCTTGCAAATCAGAACAATCAACAATCGAAAATATCGAATTCAAAGGAGATTTAATAAATAAGTTTGAAATTGAAAGAATTAATGCAGAATTGGAAATCCTAACTCAAACCCAAAAACAATTAATTCAATACCACATCAAATGAAGGATGAACTCTTTTGGCAAGAAATCTCTGAAGAAGGAGAAGAAATTATCAAACAAATGGAAAGGGAATTCAATGAAATTGTTCTACTGATAGAAGAAGAATATGAAAACGTGATAACACATTGGAAATTGATTTTTACCTGTATAATTATCGTGACAATATTAACTATTTTAGTTATTATTAAGTGGAAATTTAAATTAGTTCAATACCTCCTTTGTAATACTTCAAAACGAAATTCAAATCAAGCTACCATCATTACTCTCCCTATAGAATCACCACACACTCAATTCCTAACTAAAGAAGAAATTCCACCTATTAAACTCCGTACATTTAGCTATACACCTCAAAATCACTCTCTCAAAATTACATCTTAAAACAATTTCTCTCCCCCTTTGGGAGTGTCGCGAATTACAATTTCGCGAAAACTTCTAACCAATTTCATAGTACCATAAATCATCTCTCCTTTTTAAATTGTAAACAATCCTACGGTATTCACATATGTAATTTTAATCTCCTTTTTGTAAACACCTCCAATTCTTCATGCACGTAATTTTTTCCGTAAAATTGAAATTTGCTTTCATTTTAATCTCTTCGTTGTAAACACTTCCAATTCTTCACACATATGATTTTTATGTAAAATTGAAATTAGCTTTCATTTTAATCTTTTCTTCGTAAACACCTCGAATTCTTCACACATGTGATTTTTATCTCAGACACCCCCAATCCTCACACATATAAATTCAATTCTAATAAACACAATGCATTGTCATTATTGTCGACTACTACTCTATTAACCGAATTCAATTCCTCCGGTCTTCTTTATTATAAATTTCTTCTCTCTTTTTATTGCTCAGCTCGGTTTATTATTACTACGTTTTCAAAAAATAAAGGTTTATTAATTTTCCTACTGTATTGCAACTATTCGAATATCAACCAGACAAACCTTTCACGACACCAATGGCTGGAAATTGGAATTTCTCGAAATGAAGTTCTTGGTGTAGAAAAAGCAGATTGTACAATGATCTTCGTGATTTTTCTCTCAAACTTTGATCAAAAGATGTATTTATATCTCTTCTCTCGCATTCTTTAATTGTCAATCTTTCATGAAAGCGCCACCTTTCATTCCAACCCCACATCCTTTGCAAACCACTATGAACTGAAAACGCCTAAATTAATAAACGCTCGAAAGCGTTAAAAATTTTTTTCTGTGTAAATTGAACTTGGATTAGCTTTGCGATAATCTAGTTCATATAATATCAGAAATGGATACACATATGCTAAAGAAAACTAATTTTTTGAATTTTTTAGTGCACAAATACTATTTGAAGGTAAGTTTAAAAGTAAGGGAAGCAGAAGATTTCCGAAATACTTCCTATCAGAAAATGCTGCTTAATAATTTTTTTTAGTAGGTAGAGAGGTTTAACGACCAAATGCAATAAAATATAAAAGAAATTGTCGTTAATGAAAACAATAAACAATAGTATCGATCCTCACTGAATGAAAAAGGATCGAATGAGAGAATTCAACTTCGGATTCACATATAAGCTAATTACTGTTGGTTATACCGCGTTGTATGCAGTATTCGCTAAAATTTTAACCTTTTATATTTTTTCCACTTGCTTTTTCCAATTTTCTTTTATGCACTGACATTACGAATGAAACAGTCTTTGTAGAAGTCAAATTCAAATTACATTGAAAGCAATGACATAGCTTCTTCTTCGAATCCCGAATCCTACAACTGATAGGGAATTGCCATAATCATCGTGTGCCACTTGGACAATCCCGTTTGATGGAAAAAATTCACCAATCAAGAGAATGGAAAGTTAGAAAATAAAACTGCCAGAAAGAATGTCTTTGAAATCGATTAAATTGCTTATTCTTATCAAATAAAGAAGCATTTAAAATCTTAAAAATAATGTAAAACTGTTAATTTCAATGCCTGTGATGCATTTCTCGTCATTTCTGCTGCAAACGGTGCTGGAATATCAACTTCAATGCACTTTTTGCATAGTTCTGGAAATGGTGTATCATGCGATAGACGTGCTGTCCGGATTTGGTAGTTGCTTCCATAATATCGCTTCTTCTTTCCATTTCTGCTAACCAGAAATAACCAAATTATATCCTCATAAACTGCAAAGGTTAAAAATATCAGGATTGGACTTAAGATTAATTTTCGTCTATAATCTCACTTTCAAAAACTTAACTAACTTTTCTGAATCATATAAGTTGATGTTTGATAACGTCTGAAGTAGTTGTTGGTAACAGAAGATATAATGCCACGTAAGATCCTCTTTGCTCTTGCATTTTTTAAGTCTATATAATATTATGTGTAATTATATTACGCACTCATTTGGATGAACACACAACTCACACGTTCATAACATTATTACAATTTCGCTGGAATTTCAAGCTTTATGAGCTGGTAAACTAACACACCGTCGCAATGGTGTTACGAATATGAGTGTAACAATGAGAAATCATGCCGCAACGTCACTGATATACACTTTTCAATAGTCTTCAATAAATTCACTTTTATGGTACACAACAAAAATTCAACAACGTTTTTATTCAAATCAACCAAAAAAGAACGTGATGACAATACTGATCCCACAAACCTGTAGATGATAAACAAAAGCTAAATTTCCAATCATGAACAAGACCGTTTTCACTTGATATTTAATAAAAAAGCATTGAGTGATCATATAACATAAAAAGTTGAATTTTTGAATAGCCGAACTGCATGAAATAATCCACCCTTAACTCACAATGAATACATATTCGTATGGTTCACAAAAATGTGACAATGAAGCAATTCAAGGAAAATTAACTTGAACATTAAAAGCAAAAATTGGATATAAACAATTATCCAACAGCAGCTCTAAGTGATTATTTTCAACTGTTTTCGGTCATTTTAACTAAAAGTCATTATAAATTTTAGGAAAGATGGAGAATAAAATGGGAATGATGCCAAGGGAAGATGCAAAACCACAAATAATGCGTCTTACAACTCATATTCGAGAATAACCCAAAAGAAGCAAATTGTTCGTTAAATTTGTCCTTTTTATACAGAGAATCAATTAAAAAACAAAAAAAAAAAAAAAAAAAAAACAAAAAACAAAAAAAGAAAAGTAAAAAAAAACTAAAAGTATCTAAACACCCGTTAAAATTATGATGTTTTTAAAATGTTTGACAAATCGCAAAAGTCCGGGAAAAGGATAATTGAACATGACCCATTAAAGCGGTGTGACCAACTTGCAATTGCTTAAAAATTGCAACATGAAACCTAACGGTAACTTACAGTGGTCTTATCTATTCTCTGAATAAGAGATACCGCAACAGAGAATAACAATGAGCATAAAATGGCAGAATTTTAGGAAAAAGACAATAAACCTGAGTAGGGCAGGGTGTCGTGTAAGAGATGCTAATCTTTTTTTAAAAAAAATTGAAGCTGAAAAGTTAAAATAAAAGAAATAAGTCGACGACTTGTTCCTTCACGGATTTTGACCCTTCGAAGATGCCAACACCGATGCTGCCTCCGAAACTTTCGACTGTAACAGTTCCTCATTTTCCAGCATCATCAGTAACTCCGAGTTATCCATTTCAAGCATCATTCCTGTTATTTTTCCAACATCAGGGCCCTGATAGATGCGCTCAATTAGCGGATAAATACGCTCACCAAGCATTTGTTTTTGTTCCTATAAGCAGGCTTTATAATTGCTCTGTAACCAGTATGAATGAAAAAGAAAAAACCGTTCTATTCCTTCGTTTCATTTCTTACTGATTTCGTTTCGTTCACCTTAATTTGGAATTTCATTGATTTTAGATTTAGTTCATTACAAAAAATAAAAAATATCGTAATCAAACCTGTGGAAGAGCCTGTGCAAGCATGTGAGCGGTCAATGGTTCTTGACCCTGGATGACGATACTATTCTGCTGAGACTGACGTCCAATAATGGCACTATACGATGAATACATCATTTGTCCCTGGTTAGGTTTTCCCGGTTGTGTTTGTCGGCCTCCCTAAAGGTATTCAAATAATCCAATACTCAGGAAAATACAATGAGTCAAAATTGGCTCTATAATCAAAAAATTAATTCGGTGTTGAAATAGAGATAACAAAAACGCACCACCTGTTGCGGACGAGTACCTTGATTTTGGACCATAGCACCACCGGCCGTCAAACGTTGTGCTTGCGGACCACCACGTGTAACACCAGTCTGCCCTGGTCCATATTGACCCTGCTGAGCTCGCATAGCCACTGCAGCAGAGGAAGCTGTTGGACGTGTACAGCTTCTGCCAGCTTGTCCGTACCCACCACTTTGGACCATATATGGCGATTGCACGCCTAAGAAGATAGTAAGCTAATCTGCCTAATCGATTATGCCGAATAATTGTATTCAACTTGACAGTATTGTACAATGAATACATCACTGATGTGCCCTTTGCTTTATTACTTACATAAAATTGTCATCATAACAAAACTGTCAATCACATAATAAAACCAACAGCAGTAGCCATCAAATCGAGAAGAATCCTCTCCTCACATTATGCTATCATTTAATATCAAAATGTACCAAATCCAGCAGCTGCGCCAATCGTGTTCCATCTTGGTGTTGTTCCGCGCATTTGAGCACCAGGAATAGTTGCAGTTGGCATAAAAGCTCGTTGATTCTGTAATGTCGATGAAACGAAAAATCCGCCAGTGCCAGGCGTGTAAACGGTTCCATGCATGGTACCAGCATTATGCATACGAATAGATGCAAGACGTTGCATATATTGTGATGCCAATTGTGCTTTACGATCTTCCTTACGCTGTGCCAAAGCAACGTATAAAGGTTTTGTACACATCATCTTGCCATTCATTTCAGTGACCGCCTAGAAGGAAAAAATGCAGCAATCACAAAAAGTAAAAAGTGACAACAATTAATAGCAGAAGTACGTGAAACACATAAGAACCATAATTTTATGAATATTACCTTTGTCGCTTCATCCGGTTTTTCAAAGCAAACAAAACCGAATCCCTTAGAACGCCCATTATCGTCGCACATAACCTTAGCCGAGGTGATTTTTCCATAAGCTTCGAAATTTTGCTTTAAAATATCGTCATTTACCGTATCATCCAAATTTTTCACATACAAATTAACTCCCTGATAACGCTGCATACGTTCAACCTTCTGCTGTTCATAGCGACGTTTCAGCTCTGCAGAGCGCTCATTCTTCTTTTGTGCACGGCAAACATACAGCTTACGTTCTGTTCCCGGGAGCTCGTATTCGTGCATCTCTGTTACCGCCTACAAATTCGAGACATATTTTAATAAAGTATTTATACTATGCCACTTCTAAGTTACCTTTTCGGCATCTTCCGGATTTTCGAATGCAACGAATCCAAAACCCTTTGACTTGCCATCAGCATCCACCATAACAGCCGCGCTTGTTATCTTCCCAAATTTGAAAAACAATTTTTCCAAAGCTTCTTTATCCAGTTCATCTGCGAAATTTTTAATGTAAACATTGGTGAAACGACGAGTTGTTTCACCCATTTCACGAAGACGTGCCATACGTGGTTGGAATTTTCCCACATACCTAAAAATGATCTTACTGCAAAAAAAGGTTACATACACATTCTTATACACTTCTGCTCATACATTTTTGGTCAAAGCGAAAGCTGCTGCTGCTACATTGTCTCCAAAAAACAACATAAAATACTGCAAACGTACACTTTTTTTCCTTCCAGAAGCATTCCATTTACTTTTTCAATTGCCTTCTGAGCACTTTCTTCTGTTTCGAAGTGGACAAACCCGTATCCCTTGCTGTTCAACTCTTCGTCATTAGCGACCTATAAATTCTGCAATCAGTACAACAAAACACCTCTTACTTTAAAGATCTGATCCAGTCAATGCCGATTTCTAGTGGACATTATACCTTAAACATATCAAAATGTGCTTCTGAAAATACCTTTGACCAATCGAACTGTGCTTTCAAGAACTTTGAATCAATCAATGACGACTATAGTGTTGTGTGATATACACAATCATATTTTCTTGGCTAAAAACTGATGCTATGCTAACAGATAGTTAATTATATTTCACAAACAAACTTTGCAACTTAGGATATTTCCAAACATTGAGAATGTATCGTAAATGGCTTTATTGTCGATACTTTTGTCTAGGTTCTTGATAAAAATATTGCCAGCACCCGAACGACGCATTGATGGATCACGCTGCGACCACATAATACGAATAGGTTTACCATACATCATGTCAAAGTTCATTGTGTCTAAAGCCCTCTCCGCTATAAATAAAAATTAGTGTACATAGGAAACAGAGAAGTGAAATTATTTGCTTATAAATCATCGCATTATAGGGTGTAGGTACGAAATTTGGGAAGTTAAGAGTATTTCAACAATGTTCCATTACATTTTCTACAATTAATATTTTGGAAATAATTCTGTCCAATAGTACAATAAAAGCAGATGATTCCCTGTTATACAACTTTAATCCTTAATCCTTGTCCCAATAGTTTCCATCTTTTATCTCTTGTAGTGTCTGCACACGTTACAATAAAATATGTAAGATTAAAATCTTAAGTATTTCATCATCCAAATACACTATTTGATTGCAAATTCCTACAATGGGCTTATAAAATTCGAATTAATCAAGCTATGTCTTAGTTTTATCTGTTTCAGCGTAGAAAGAGCTTAACTTGGATGTAGTGTCATTTAATGATTCATAACAGTTAAGATCAGCAGGGTGAAAAATATGACAAAAATTTTAGCAATTGTATGGCTAACCGTCGGCAGGCTGCTGAAAGTTGACATAAGCATAACCCAGTGAGCGTCTCGTGATTGCATCACGGCATACACGAATAGACAGTACTGGACCGGCACTGCTGAACTTTTCAAAAAGCATTGCTTCGGTTACATCAGGATGCAAATCTCCAACGTAGAGCGAAGCCATTGGATATGATGGAGTCATACCAACACCAGCTGTTGCTACTGTTGCCATTTTCACTTTTTTCTTCTTTTGTTTTATTCACTAAATTTGCTACTAGCGACCAACTTATATCGTTACCAAATCTGAAAATTGTTCAATTACATACTGAGTAATATTGGTTAATTTTCTCTACTTGAAAAAATCTGAAATGCATTAAAAATCTTTAAGAAAGTTCTGAATTTAAAGAGCCAAATCCACTATTCACTTCCATGTACCGAAACAACTAACAGAACTAGATAGTGCCTTATCAAAGATCATAATACACGGAAGAAATATCAGAACCACACAATAAATTATATATTGGAACTGAAGTGTCTCCCTTTTCTCAATATCTACTCCAGTACGTGAAACTCATACACCACGACCAATAATTAAACAAGAAAACCGAAAGAAAAGAAAGAAACCTTATGTCTCTCAGCTTTAACAAAATGAAACAAGGAGAGATATTGAATTTAAACACCAACTCTAACAATACATCGAAATTTACATATTAGATTAGCGAATATATGCAAATTGATAGAAAAAACATATGAAAGTTTAGGCATATCTAAGAAAAACAAAAAATACAAAAATAGATTGCATAATATATGGGCATTTTACGATTTGCTGACACATAAAGGTCAGTACCTTAAATCTAATCAACTGTATGAATAAAATGGACAAATTTTTGACAAAACGACAAAATTGCAGTTACATATTTAAGGAAAGAAAGCAAAAATAAAAAGGATGAGAAATGAGGAACGGTACAAGAGATTAATATAAGAAAGTGAAAAATTGTCATATTTAGAAAATTAGAGGCTTATGAATGGTAACATGAAATATGAATGGAAGCTGAAGCAAACTGAAAGATAGGTTATACTCAACAATATCATCAAAGAAATTGAAGGAAGTGTTTCATACATACAGTCATCTTTCTAAAGCCACTGTTAAAAAAGTCACAACATATGATACTTCTCATTCAGAGAAAGCACAAGACATAGGTGAAATTTAATTGGGATAATCCAACAAATAAAAGTTACAACTTGACACAAAGAACTCATACTACAATAATAAATGTAAGAAATATGAGTTCAATTTTACGACTTCTAGTCCTGAGATGGGTAGATAAATGGAAACTGTTAAGTACAAAAAGTAAAAGTTGAAAAGATGTGAACAAACCTTGCGCAGGAAAGTGTGTCAATTGATCAGCGTAGCAATACCAATATTCTTCGTTCACCTTTTTTTTTTTGTAAAAACTTTTTTGAAATTTTGTAATTTTTTTGGGGGAAGTGGATTTTCTGACGAATAGACAGAACTTTTAGGTAATTTCTCAATAAATTTTATGATTTTTTTTTTGAATTTTTCAAATAAGAAGCGAGCAAAAGAGACAGATAGGGATGCGACCCCAGTAGGTATGTCACAACACACTGCACACCTCGATGTCGCCCTTCGAGCAGACAGACAGATGCAGACACTCACACAGACTCACCCTTTATACCTTTCCACACAGCACTTGCTCACTATCCTATGACAATGCTCACCCTCTCGTCAGGTTCCTACAACGATTCTTCAATGCTTGCATGAATATTCCCGTGCTATTTCTTTGATATGAACAATGAGTTAAAGATTGTTACGAAGATAGGATAAAAGGATATGAAGATTAGAGATAGGAGATACTTCTCCTTATCATTCCTGTCCGCTTTCCCTTATCATTTTCAGGAATTTATCAAATCTATCCTAAATCTTAAGTTTGGCTTAATGCCAGCTATATTACGAAGTCACTTGGTAAAATGGCAAATAAGGTAGTTCAGATAAGGGCGGGAGAGGAGAGAAGGAGAGAGCTGTGTGGACGTAAGAAGGAAAGGGAATGTCAAGGGTCATCTGCGAAAAGAAATGTATTAACTAGTGGGAGAAGCTATCAGTTAATCTACGATTGTCAAAATTCCTCCATCAGCGTATGCTTTCATGAATCGCATGATTTCACTAATCTGGATAAGTTGTTTTACAAAGCTGCGTTACAAAGGGATGTCAAATAAGATAGAGTTGATGGTTAATCCTTTCTTTATTACATGTTTTAAAATTCTCTTTTCAATTTATGTCTACCAAGATTTCAAAAAAAAGGAGAAAATGGGATATATTCAATCTTGTTATCGTTATGTAGCCTGATAACTCGTAAGCAAACTAATTACTTGCATCATTTTTGATTTTTGATAACAATAAGAAGAAAGCTGTACAAATGACAACAAAATAAGTTGAAAAATCTATTCTGAGAAGTACATTTTACCATTCCGTCATAATATAAAACTTTGAAATGTCGCATAACAAATATGCAGCATACCATAAATGATAAAAGAAAATCTGTTGAAAATCGAATCCAAATACTTTCCTAGAGTTCTGAGACATTTCAGTCGAAAGATTCAAAAATGTTATCGAACAACGCTTTCGATAGAATGTTCCCAATTATATTGATTCCGTCCAGCATATTATGAATTGTCTTAAATTAATTTTCTTTTGCAGCAGAGCAAAAAATCTAAATTTAAAGCATGAAAAAACTGTAAAAAATGACATGGAATTTTTTCTTCTCATTTTCAGTAGGCCTTTCAAAAATTTCCAGATCACTCAAATGGACATCATATATCTCGATTATGCCTTTATTATTACTTTTCTTCAATTACGTAATTATTTAATTAGATATTACATCAATGTTGCAGAGGATTAGATCATTTAGGAGTTATTTCGAATATTTCTGATACATTCAATGATGATACTCGAGTGTTTTACTAATATCCACAATGATTCCAATCAATTCTTATCAAAGTTAATTAGTATTACTTTATTCTTATCAGTAGTAACCAATCTGTACATGTTATCCTTATCACTCCTCATCATTTTGTTTTCCCGCTTTATGTCTTGAAGGATCGTAGATGAGTGATAGATGATAGGTGCTGAAGTGAGTGGGAAATGATGACGACGATTCAACTACATCTTGTAGCATCATCACATATATCTCTACGCTTCTTTTTTCTTTTTTTTTACTTTTCCTTATGAAAGAAAAATGCTTTCTAAATGATGTAAGCCATAATTTTTGCATTGGTATTTCATATCTTTTTCCTTTTCTATTTTCAATATTATCCCTGTGTTGAACGTAAGCTGCTGGATTGCTATCAAATCATGAAACTCTTTGTCCCTTTTCCCGATTGATTCTTTATTTTGAAGATTGTAAAAAAGCTTTAGATAAATTATCCAATAAATGTCCTTTTTTTGTGCCATCGATAGGTAGTCACATTATGCAACTTTTGATTATCTTTTAGTGTTACTTCTATCCATTCATATCCCTCAGCTTTCAAGTTATTTTCAGAACTTCCCAAAACGGAATATGATATATTTGTTTATGCAATAATAAAATGAACCTTATTTATCCGTTGGAAAACTAATGATAATACTTCTACATCTATTAATACGTTTTGAATGATTTATCTACTGTTGGCCATTTGCTTCATAAGTACTTGTTTTAAACTTTGTGAAGTGTATCAAATTCTCTATATATTATTTTATTGAAGTGTACGCGAAGTTTTAGAAGGTCAGTAGTTTATTGCAGAATCTTTTGCTATTGACAGAGATCACAAATGAATGAGAAAGGCACGACAAGTCCTATCACAAACGCAACTGTCATTGCGACAACCAGTTTGAGACCGATAGTGCCAGATAGACAAGCTTTTCAGCAGGAACTTCGTAAATATAATTAGAGTATTAGTGAAATGTTCGCGAAGGTTACTTTTAGTCTTCAGTGCTTGATTTTCTTTGCTTCAAAGTTATTTATTTCAGTCATTATAGTTTTTAGATTATGTTAAAGACCGTTTGGCGTCTTGAGACCTTTTTCTACTAACTCTTGAAGCTAATAAATATGCCTTTTAGTAATTTGAATCTTTGTCTATTATCCCTTATTGCCATTATGCTGACCATTCACCACCAGTATTGTTTACTCATTCATTCACTGTGGGGTATGTATATATGCTTATAACTTCGACTGACATACCAATTAGCTTTATTCCACATTTCTACTGAATAATATAGAAATTTATAAATAATTGGTAATATGTTTGCTTCTTGATAACTATGAACTTGTTATAAATGCTTCATTTCAGTATGCTTAATGCTTAATTTTTTAAAACCTCTTTCAACTGACTGTAAAGTAATTTTTCGAATGCGTTAGTCATACTTCTTTGTCATGTTTTCCTTTATTTGCAGATCGATAGAATTATCGGAAGGGACTTTGAATATGTTGAAGCAGAGCAAGCAAGAACCTTGCAAAAGGAGGGAACAATTGAAGATTGAGGCTGATGGAATGAAAATTGAAATTAATGAAATCAAAAAACTGCTCACAGAAAAGGTTAGCGATTACCTTATGTCGTGAAATTACTACTCATCTGCTTCTTAAATCATGAAATTTTTAATGATTTAATAGAAATATATCGATATCGCGCAGTATTATCGGTCACGTTGTTAATAGCAAAGGTGTTAGGAACCTAGAAATGACAAAATGAAAATTTAAAGTTCATAATAAAGAAGTTTGATCTAGAATTTCTAACTAGTTTAGCATTTCTTGTGAATTTATAACATACTGTGATCATTGTTTTTATGAAAGGGGAAGATATTATTTTCAAGAAATGGGTTCATTTATTGAAAAATGATGAATCGTACATTATATTTTCTTGAAGATTCTAGTTCATCCAATAATGAAATTTGATTTAATTATATATAGTCTTGAAATGAAAATTTTACAGAATGCATTATTGCCCGATATAGAAAATGATTTGGTCTACAGGGATGAAAGCAAATTGACAACACGTTTGGAAGAATTGGAGATTGCATACTCTCAAACGAAGTTCACTTCTAGTTGTACTGAAAAAGCAGTGATTAAGGAAATCGATAAATTGAAACGGAATCGAGCCAATTAGCGCAAGTTTTCTAGTCATTGATTTAATTTTTATTTAATTAACATTAAACAATGAACATAACTGAACATTCATTTTAATTCCGAAACTAGTATATTAAATTTCTAATAGTTATTGTTTCAAAAAAAAAAAAAATACGCTCAGGTAGCTCTACAGGACCATTTAAGCTCTACAGGCTCTACAGTAAAAGCATTTAAATCACCCTCAATTTTACGTTAAGGGATTTGGAAAAAATATCAAAAAAATAGAAAAAATATGGGCATAAACTGAGACTTATATAAAATTAGCATCTTTCCAAAGTAGCAGATCAATCCAGGAAAGCTTGGAAAAAAAAACTTTTGCGGAAAAAGGGCTGAAGATTTTGGCGCAATAAACAGGAAAAAAAACGAAGAAAAATTTGACGCAATGAACATGAAAAAAAGAATTTTAGGGATTTACTAGTGATATTAAAATCTTATTTCCAAGTACAAGAATGATCTGAATGTAGTTTATCCAATCGACAGGTAAGCTAATTTTAGTCAGCTAATTTTATTTGATTGTAATTTTCTTATGAATTCATAGCATTGATTTCATTCAAAATACTTATAAAATATTTTCTTTTTTTTTTCTTATTTATTGTTTGTACATAAAGCTCATTTTTTTAGGAAATATAATATTATCATGGAAGAGAAAAGAGTTATACAACTCCAGTAGTGTGGAATCAATGAAAGGGGTAGTGTATGTTGCTACACATTCCATCTCTTTACCGGAACTTTTATTAATTCTTAATATTATAAAGTTTACTTCTCAGCCCTTTTGGCGATTTTTTCCTTTCGATGAAAACAAATGAAGCAGTGGATAGTTGCAACAGGAAGAGGAAGGTGTACATAGATTAGTTTATTGCTTAATGTTGTGGATTCCTCGTAAATTTACTTTGGTTTTTTTTAATGTTTTTTTTTTCTGATTAGTTTTAGTTCCTTATTTTGATCCTTAATTTTATTTTTATTTATTTTATAGTTTCGAAAAATTTTGTATAGTAATAAGATTTATCTTATGTGCATTATTTTATTATTTTCAAGCAGTCATATTTATGCACTCATATTTATCGAGTATCTTCATAAAATAGTAAAGAAGTAATAAGAAGGAAACATTTTAGAATGTGCTGAAGTCAATCCGTGAAACAACAAATCAGCTTGAGACAACTGATCGATATATTAGACAGCAAAGGTGAATTTCTTACATCTTAAAGACAGTTTAGGCGATTTGCATGCTAAAAAAACGAAACTAATGGATAGTTATAACAAGAAGCGGGTGGAATACATCGACTGGTCAAATAGAAATAAAAAAGATATACAATGTTCTTCCATAATTTGTTCGAATTATCCGTATCCAGCAACATACCCAACGACTCATCGCCAACAGTCGCGTGAGTTTGTTCTCTATTGTTTGAGTTGATTTTGTTGCGTTTCTGCTGTTTAGACTACAATCATGACTTTAAGTGATCCAATTTCTTCACTGATCAAAATTAGTTCACCCTTCTTCATAGATCAAAAATGAACTTGGTGTGTAGTAGTTTTTTAATTATTTCCAGAGGATATTTGTTAAACTGTAGAAGGTTTTATATCCTCAGTTATTCAATTTAGATGCTTTACTGATGAAGACACATTGGAACTTTTTTATGAACAGAAGATGACATGTAAAAGATTCATTGAGTACTTAATTTCACTACAGTCACGGATGCCCGTAGAATGTTTTTTCATCAGCTTATGACACAGTTGATAAAACAAGTAGACAAATGATTGCTGACGGCAATGAAGGTTATTGTATTACAGTTACATTCTTCATTTTATTAAATTTCATCTGATATGTTTCCATATTTCGTTTTTTTCATCTTATTTTATTTCCAATACAGATTTATTCCTTAAAAAGTACAGTTGAAACATAAGTTTATTAATCAAATTGTGTTGGTCTATATGAAAACATTTTTTCAGATTCAGCTGAGGAATATCCGTCATCTTTTTCCGCCCTGAAAATACATCCATCATTACCGATTGAGCAAAATTTTGGAAACGAAATATCTCTAACGTTTTGAAGAAAAAAAATTGCAAGAAGTCTTCGAAGAAGCCATGTCAGGTATTTCCCGAGTTTCAATATTATTACCATGATGGTCGTGAAGTCGTAACTTCTGTTTATTTGAATTCATTTTATAAGTGTATCGCTAATAAGAACCGTTACTGAGAAAAATAGCTAATAAATGTTGTTGCAGTTGATCAAAAATCAATCAATGTCTTCATTATTAATGCATCATTATAATGCGAATCAGCTTTTTTTATTCCTAATTAATTTTTGGTGTCCGTTTTCTCAGTCTAGCTTAATTTCACTTCTTTTTGCAGAAAACAATTTTCATCCAGTGCAAATGTTATGCTTCTTTAAAGAAACTGAGATATCAATACCTCAAATCTATCGCGAAATTGAACACACATTGAGTATGGTGCGTGCATTGTTGAAGCAGTACCAAGAACAAACAAAGTAAGGATATTCCCTTCTTCATGTTTCTGGGTTTGATTTCATTTGAATTTTGCTCTTATACGATTTCTGCATGCATAATCTCAGGAACACATTTCTTTACTTTATTTATGAGCATCTATACCGTGTTGTGGTGTATTTTTTATATTAAATTTGTTTTCCATCGAATTCTGGATTCATAATATCATGGAAACACTAACAATCTAACTCGAAAGAAAAGTTTTTAGACAAAGGTTGGTGTATTCTATTAAGACTTACATCTCAACATCTTATAGTTATCTGTATATTTTGGGAAAAAAGTGATACCGATAGTTACTTTCACTTAGTGAATACGGCAGATTCAACTTGGAATGGTTCAACAGATAATCTGGTCAAGGAAGCATCTTCAATTTTCATACTTGTTCCTCCTTCGATCTCATAACGCCGATAAAGGAGAGATCTGAATCTTTTGCAAAATATATTTGCAGCCCAAAACTGGAATTTTCACCTCCATTGTCATTATCTAACGAAGGTTTTCAAGTAAAAATTCTATCCTAGAACATTCTTTGTTTATTTGTTACTGAATTCAAACATAACACATTTTTATGTAGAAACCGTATATTTTCTTTTTTTTAAAGAGTTGTTTGTAATTGTAATTATGCAAATGCTTGAATTTTTCTGATGTCAGCAAGAGAAATTCAGTAGCCTTAATCGTTTAGAAATAAGTAAACGTATATAATATTGTTATAGATATTCGTCATCCGTATTCTTCATAATCATTTTTTTTCTGATAATAATTTCACTCACACTGTATTTGTCTGGAATTGATATGGGTTAGAATTATGGGTTGTTTAGCCATTTCTTTTTATTTATAATTTGTTTCATTGTTTACATTTGTACAGAATTTTATAGAGCAACGTTGCAACTGTTTCAGAAATCTCAAAAGAGAATTCCTTTTTCTCAAAAAAAAAACATACAGGAAGCATGTTGATCATTTGTCGAGTGTTAATTTGCATTTATCTAATTCAAAAGTTTTTGAAGTATATATTATGTGTATAAATATTATATCTATGTATTCAATTCCTGATTTCTTGTACTATGTCCAATTAATTTATAAATCATGTTTTACAAGTCTAAAAAAATGGTGGAAAAAAGTATGAGCTCAATGAAATCGTCTCAAAATCCAGTTTTAATTTTAAAAATATTGAAATTAGTAACTGTTTTCCTAATAGTTCATTGTGATTAATAGAAGTGATTTGATCAGTTCATGATCGATAGATATGCATTTTATGTGTTTTAATTATAATTTCGTAGATATATTTATATTGTTGATTCTCGAATAGAATTTTAATTTGAAGACTTCTGTTGCAGAAATAATCACAAGATTTGGAACGTTCTGTACTTTTACAAATTACAAGTTCAGAACTTCAAAAGATAGTCAAGCGAAGTGGATAGATTGCACAGTATTCACATGGAGGGACAGTGGCAGAAAAAACTTATGATATTATCTTTTATCGTTTTGTGATGTCTATTATAACTGCAAATTTGTGGGAAGAAAGCGCGATATCAAATGACAACACAAATATTCGTTTCTTGAAGGTCAGTATTAGCTGGTTGAAATGCAGAAGGCTTCTGTTTCACTTTTCGCTTTTTTCTCATGATGATTATTTAGAATAGCTTATCATATAAATTTCTAATGAACAAGTTAAGCTCCTCTCTAAACATACAGATCAATATGTCGTTTTTTTTAACGAATACATTTTTTAAGTCTACCTTACAAGGAGTTTGTTTTTTAAATGTAATCTCCCCGGTTTCGTGCAATTCGTAATAGCCATCAGTGGGCTGTCCTGGCTCTGGAATTATGTTTGCAGTTAATGAAGATAGAACTATAAAAAGAAAATTGTGATGTTTTTATTAATTTGATGCAAAATTTGATAAAACAAACGTCTAAGATGGGCGCAAATATCCCAAACAATTTTTCGACTGTTTTTTTCCAGAAAATAGTGTGCACACGACCAAAATCTGCCTCAATAACTCCTTCCTCAACGAACTTAGGGAATTTATTCGTTTGTATTGCCTAACTGGAAATATATTACAGTTTACATGGATAGAGCCAGATTAAACCAAACAAAATATTGGATAAGAAATAACAACCAATGAAATTATATTGAATTCTAAGGATAGCGTACTTCTTGGCCGTTTCACTGACACGAATTCTTCTTGCTACGCCATACGATTCCAGTTTACGACCTATCGAAACTATCTTCCCAAATAAGCAATAACTGAAAATGTAAAGCAATTATGCAATTTCTTTATTTTCTGCCCTATTAAGTAGATCAGATAGCTAGATAAAATTATCGCAAATTTTGTGATTTAGTAAAATTACTACTAACCGAGGTATTTTGAAACTAATACTCCAGCAAAAATTGATCCGGTGTGAATATCTATACCAATCTCAAATGATATATCAGTTCCTGGACGCTGATTTCACCTCCATTTGCATACCAATGGCCATATTTAAAATACGTCCTGAATGATCGATGTATTGAGGGGGGAACACCACTAGCAACCACTTAAGCATCATCAATAGTTTCAACTTTATAAACGTTATTCTAAACATGTAAATTAATTAATGGAAACGAATCATATAAATTCAATAAAAACAAAAGCGAAGATTTTCGACATTTTACACATTAAAAAAATATTGATTGAAAAGCTAAGAGCTTTAACAGTGTGACAGACTGAATAGTTTTAAAGTTATAAAGGTTAACTTTATAGTTTAAAACTTTATTACTTTCTTATTAAAGTTTAAGCTGAATAGTTTAAAGTTGTAATCTTAAAATTCAAATTGGAAAGTTGCAAATTTTAAAATTGTTTTGAAATCTAATATTTAAGTTAACAAAAGAACAAAATGAAGAAAGTAATCCACAATTAAAGATTTAAAAATGAAAATATAAAAAGCACTTACAATTTTAGCAATACGATCAAATTTGGTATATAATTCGTTTAAGATATTAAAAACATCATAAGGTGTTTATTCTGCTTAACTCTTAATTTATCACCGATCAGATTTTATCATTCTAATTGTTTTGCTTTTTTTAACATTTAATTTTTAAAATTGTATTTGTCATCAATTTCAAAATATTACAACTTTTTAAAACGATTGGATATGAGTGAATTTGGTGGTCCGTTATATCATTTAATATTAACACAAGATATTAACATAAATATCTATTCAAAAAAGTCAGTAAAGATTGATAAATAAGTGGTACCTGAAAGACTCAATTATTGTAATCGTATACGTCTTGCAATATGTTGGAAATAATTTTATTTCTTTAAGAATCAAAGTACTGAACGTGTATTGTTTTCCTTTTCTTTTTTTTTTTTTTTTTAAATTTATTTATATCAGTTAGCAAAGTCACACCAGATCTCACTGATGATTTTGATAAAAATGCCTGAGAATAAAATATAAAATTATAACAATAAGTTATTTTGAATTCTCTACATATCATTTATATTTTATCTATGGATTTTTATTTATGGAGTTTTCCTCCACTAACTCTGATTACTGATAAACATATTACTTACTTAACAGCCCTTATCAATAAAAGATATAATACAGAAATGGAAAAATTTACGAAATGCAATATTTGGATTTCTCTATTAAAACAAATGTCATATGGAAAAATAATCGCAAATTCGTTTAGCGATAAGCCACATTGTCCATTATGCCTTTTTTTTAAAGTTAGATCATTAAATGAATGAATCACGTAAAAGTTACGTCTCCATGTAATCTCAGAAGATGAGCGATTGTTACAAGTTGCATAAAAAGAACACTTCGTAGAAAATATTATAAGTAATTTAATAAACCAATTTTATTTGATAATTGAGTGAAATATCATCATTTTTTTTCTTAGTTCTTTTTTCTTAGTATTAAAATTTATCATATGAGAAGTGCAATGGAATTTTAATTTCCTAGAAAATATTAAATCGAAATTAATAAGTTTGCTAATCATTATGAAATCATATCAATTAAGAATTTGTAAAAAATTTCCAATCGATTGAATGGAGTGCACAAAAATTATTTTTCACACTTTTGGAAAAAATTATTGGTATAATCATTTGAACAAATTTTTTAAAAAAAATGAAAAAAAAGCTATTTTATTAGAATTGTAATAAAATTTACATTTGATTTCGTATTTTGTAAAGAATTGGTCAACGAAGAATTCACGCAATTTAAACTGTTCCTATTCTTGTCCTTCTGAAATTGCATCTATTTCAGTTGTTTTAGCCAAATACTCTTTCATATGCAATTTGTTCAAAACTCATTTTGAATTTTTTTTAGGTTATTTTAAGAAGAAAAAGTGAAACACTAGTAATTGAAAATATAATGTGTTCTTTAATTATTGAATTAAAATGCGCTCGAAGACGGCTTTCAATAGTTATTTCAATTTCAATTCCGAATATTCTCCTTGATACTTCACGAACAATATCTGAAAGTATAAATGAGCTTTGCGTTTAAGATCTCTTCACTAAAATCACATAGAAATTATAGGACTTTTTTTGATTCCGCAATTATTTTTAAATTTATAAGATTTCGAAAATTCATAATTCACTGTTTAGTTAATCATTTATCATCGTAGCACTAGTGAATAAGATGTAACATAACATTTTGAATTCAGTGACTACTAACTTTAATTTTTCTGATGACCCTTTTCTGCAAACTACCTAGGCGCAAAAGGAATGAAAAGCGGAAAGAGTATTTTCGGTATTGTGGAAAATACAGGAAAATATTTTGTTTTAAATAAGCAAAAACTATCAATGCTCACTGGTGAGAACAAAATTAAAATTATAAACAGTCGATTGAATAATTTTGGTGGCACCTTTCATAATTCTCGGAAATCCTATACGTGACGAATAATAATGCAGTAGGAGGCTATCATCATTGTTCAATTCACAGCGAAATCATACATCTATGAATTGTTAATCACAGTTATATTCGTAGAGTATCATACACCCATTGAATTATGAATCACGATTGTATATATCTATCATACATCCATGATTTATGGTTCACAATTTTATATATCTGCGTACGTAAATTAAAGAAACTTGATTAAACGCCATTCTAATTCAATCATTCCAGAAACCTCCGCATTGATTGCAATGAAACAATCAAAGCAAATTAGAGATACCGCTACTGTCGAAAAGATCCAGCCAAGTCAAGAGAATTCAAATTGATTGACAAACAAGAAAAAGGGACCTTGTATTTTCCACAACAAAAATCACTGGGATAGCAGGTATCACATTTATTCAACAGTCGAGCAATGAATTGATCGATTGAAGGAAATCGACATAGCGAATTCGACTGTAGAAAAAACAGCAAG